TACAGTTTAATCAATTGAAACTATTTCTTCACGAAATCTTCCAAAAGCAATCACCAAAAATGGGAAAGACAAGTTACATACTCCCTCCATCCCATAAAAAGGTTCCACAATTTGTTTTTTGTTTGTCCCAAAAAAAGGTTCCTAGTTCCTTATAGGCAATTGCATGGAGCGTGGTTCAAAAAACTTGGTCTCTCCGCACAAAACTCGACCATACAGTCATACATTTTCACCTTTAATAATAACCACATTTGGTCAAATGTGAAACTTTACTTTGGAATGGAGTGAGTTTGAAATATTTACACTATGTTTGATTCAAGTAATTTGAAAGCGAAAAGAAAAGAAAATGAGATGGAAAACAATTTTTCTTGTTTGGTTAGAGATGGGAAGAAAATAAAAATGGAAAGAAAATAAATGAGAAGGCAAAATGTACTAAGAGGAGGGAAAACAAAATTCCTCTCGTATTGGTGAAGAAAATGAGAGAAAACTATTTTCTTTTCTTTCTAATTCCTTGAACCATAGTGTTAGTTAACCAACAAATAAGTACTAAAACATATGCATCATTCTGGATATATTACCGCTGTACCTCACCAAAATTGAAAAGTTCATCTAGTCAAACAAGACTGCTTTTGGGACAAAAGTAGTAACATAGTTATTTAGTGAAAAACATGTAGGTGTAGTTGACTAAAAAAGACAAACTGAAATAAGGGGGTGTTTGGAGAGCAAACAAGAGATGAATTCTAAAATAAAATAGCTCAATCCCTTTATGCCTGTTTGGTGAGCCGTATTACAGGTTGAGTCTTGAACCCTTTAGGTTTACGAACACCCCCCAAAAAGGGATGTCTTGAACACCAATTATTGTGGGTGAGTTCAAACCAAAGGGTTCTTTCAAACACCACCGCTGCTCCCACTGCAACTATAGGCACTACCACAAGGACCACCACCTCAACCACCACCCCTGCCACCCTACCTCATCATCATTTCTCTTCATACTTTTTTTTCAAAGCTGACATTTTTTGGACCAGACAATCCCATCCTTTTTTTCTGCATGCAGCTGTGTTCCAAGGTCCAAAACTCAACCCACATTCTCCAGATTTCAGGACTTGGAATCATCCCAACTTTTACTAATCACAAACCCCTAAAGAGTAGAACACTATAAACAACAACAACAACAACAACAAACCTAGTATAATCCCAACACCCCAAGATACACACAAGTTGTGTGTATCTTGGGGTGTTGGGATTATACTAGGTTTGTTGTTTATTAATACAAACTATGTTTCAATTCTGATTTTCAAATCTAAATTTGGTATATATATATATATATATATATATATATATATATATATATATATATATATAATATATATATATATATTATTTATTTATATATATAATGTTCGCCATTTGACCGCCCGCCGCTCGCCACGCTTCTCGCCATAAAAAAGAGCCTCTCGCCCACCACTCGCCATTCGCCATTCACAACTATGCACACAACCTTACACACATAAAAAAGTAAGAGGTTGTTTCCATAACCCTTGATTGAATTTCTGCATTTACTCCCAAAAAATCATAAAATAAGAAGCAAGAAAAGTTTAATGTGCCACTTTGTTTTGGTACATAATTTATGCGAACCTAAAACAGTGTCAAAATGACTCGACTCTTTTAGCTCACTTGACAATGGATTTTAAATAAACACCGGGCTTTGAAAAACTAGGTGATCCAAATGCATGAATCCTATTAATAAACACCAAAGCCTGAACATCTATCCTCGAGAAGTAAATGGAATTAAGCAGCATAGGATCAAAATATTAAATATGAACAAATTCACATTGTTTACCTTTCATTACGCTGTTCTGTTTTACCTACTGGGCTTTTGGCAGTAATCCGCTCCTTTTCTGCACCAAAGAAAGTTCAATCTGTAAAATACCAAAAAAAACCTAGCTCTCAAAGAAAAAAGCATATGAAGCCACTCGTGAGTGAGCTCCATACCAGTGATGGCCACGCACCAAAACCCTTAAACTCTCCAATGCGCCAAAATTGGCATCTCAATTACAACTTCAACAGTAAACAAAATAGGTCATGAATGTCCAAACACCACGACATAGATCTTTACAAAAAAATGTTTTTTTCCCAAATCTGACATTGTTAATGAAGCGATATTCCAGCAAGCAAAGATGAAGTTGGGAAGGAGAAAGAGTATTACTTGCAGCGAATCGTTTCTTGAAAAGAACTTTGGTCTTCCGCTGTCTTCGAGATACGGATGGAAGATTCTTCCTCGCGAACTTCCTGGCCTTCAACCCTAATTTGCCCATCACTATTCGACTGGTCAAGGGTTTATGCTCTGATAGCGCCCCCCTAAAATCAAGAATTTTAAAACTCCAGGGTTTTAAAATGGCCTTGAAACGTGGGGTTTAAGTTTTGAGTAATGTCAGGGGTAATGTATCCCAAATCTACACTATCATTCTTTTCTCCACACATTTTTATTTTATTTTTATTTGGTTTTTTTTTTGAATTTTTTTGCCTTTTTTAGTGGACAAGGAGGGGGTGGGGATATTTGGAGTACACCTTTGGTGTACCCCTAGAATTTTTCTTAAGTTTTAACTGATAAAAAAAGGGGGGCTTTTAATTGAATCGGCCAGTTGAATTAGATAGTCAGTTTCTCAATTAGGAAAAATGTTATTTTAACTCTAACATTTGAACCCCGTGTTTAACCTCATTCTAACATACATTAGACATTCGATATTATTTTATGTAGGTAATAATAAGATTAAAAAATAGAGTTAAAATATTGGGGGTGCTAGCTCTCCCTGTCAGATCTTCTTGATGTAGGGAGTCGGGGTTAATTATATCCCACTTGAAACTATTTTTAGTTTAGTTTAATTAAAATTGATATTCTGTGTATAATTTAAAAAAATTGAAATTACATATTTACAAATTAAATCAAAAAATCTTTAAATACAAAAGTAAAAGATCACAATATTATACTCCCTCCGTCCTAAAAAGATTTACACCTTTCAAAAAAATTGTGTCCCACAATTTCATACTCATTTCTATTAAAAAACCACTTTTACCTCTTACTTTTTCAAACCCTACCTATCACATCATATCATACCTTTTTCCTAATAATCTACACATTACATCTTACTTTTACCCATCACATCAAGGGTATTTTTGGAAAGTTAACACAAAATTATCCCTCCCTTAATTTCTACTTTAGTCAAAATGGGTAACATTTTATGGGACGGAGGGAGTATTATTTTATCAAATCAATAATATAAATAAATGAAAAGAAAAAAAGACTAAAAATTGTACTCCCTCCGTCCCTGAGTGTTTGTCCATTTTCATTTTTGCACACCATCCAATGCACTTCTTTAATCCATTTTATATTGTAATTTGTATATTAAAAAATTATAAAAATTGTATATTAATAATCTATATGTTAAGACGAATCAAATAAGATTACACATGACTATTTTTAGGCTTATACATTGAGAGAATTTGATGAGTCAAAGTATTTAGATGAACAGTTCTAAAAGTTAAAAGTGGACAAACACTTAGGAACGGACCAATTATTAAGTAAACAATGGAAAAAGAACTATAGGCATTAATGTTTTTAGGGAGGAGGGGGCCCCTTACTCGATCGGCAGCGAGTACCTCCGAGTAAAAGGAACACACCGCAACGAATGTTTTTCGAGTACTTGTATAATGTTTTGATTAATCATGTACCCCGGAGTATTACTTCTAATTTAAAAAAAATAAGTATTTGAGTAGTTTAAATAAGATGACTCAATCAAATCTAAGTAGCTTGAGTAGTTTTGAAGTGGCGGGATTCTATTAGCTAGTTAGAGCACTGGTAATACCCCTCACGCCCACCGGCGTTACGGGGTGTTTAACGCCCCGGGAGCGTGAAACACCGCCCCCGCCGGCGTGAAACGGGCGTGAGGGCGGCTGCGTCATTCCTTTGACGCGGCGTGAATCGGCGCTGCTCCCTCCTAACGGCTAAAAAAGCCGTTGCACCCCAATTTAAAAAAAAAAAAAATTCCTATAAATTCAACCCTCCCCAACCAATCTCTCACACCTTCTCTCCAATCTCTTCTTCTTTCTTATTTTTAAGAGTAAATTCTCAAAATAGTCCTTTGTAATAAGGGATTTTCCCAAATTAGTCCTCAGTAAGTTTTAATTACTTACATGGTCCTCTATATTTGAGATTTATTTCCAAAATAGTCCTTTGTAATAAGATATTTTTCCAAATCAGTCCTCAATAAGTTTTAATTACCTAGGTGGTCCTCTATAATTGAGATTTATCCCTAAGATGGTCCTTCATAAATAATGTTACTCAAATGAGGATTAATTGAGGTTATTTTTTTCTGCTAAATTTAGAATTAATTCTTAAAATAATCATTTATAATGAAATGCTTTCCCAAAATGATTTTTCTAATTAAAGATGTGTATTTGATTTGAAATTTAAAAGATTTTTTTTAAGTTTTAAATAATTCATAAATTATTTAT